GAAAAAAGTGGTGTAGTAGTCAATCAGCTTAATGATAAACGTTGTTAAATGAAAAACGATCATTCTGGTCGTTGCATTCAACGTCACAGTTGGCCTTATAAAATAGAAATCTGCATTTCAAATCAGGCAATTACTGTCAGACATTGATAATAATCATAATAACCTTAATATAATTTTTTTATTTACATTTAGTCATTATCTAGAGACCAAAAGCCATCTCGTCGATTCTGTCTTTCTAGTAAAGGAGTCAAAATGGCAGTCAAAACAAATTAATGTTGTTTCTTGTTTGGCCGTGATGACTTCTTTTTGGACTATTTCCATTCATGAAGTAAATAACTTGTACTGGAAAAGATATTTTCTGCCCCATTATGTCAAGCTAGGGAGTTAAAGTTTCAATTTATTTATTTTCCTCTTTGAAAATGTGTTAAGATGCAAAACCATATTACACAGCACAGAGAAGAGGCAGCTGTTCAGTAATGACTGCGATTAATGTGCTCTATTTAGAGACAAATTTTCTTACCTAATTCTTGGACGACGAGATCCTTAAAGCTGTCCTTAATAGATCTTCAATGTTGAAAATGTTACTATCGTGCCTTAAATTCAAAATTATGAGCTGTGTTTTTACTTTGAAAAGGTATCAAGATGCATTAGAAGCTCGGGTTTCAATATCTGAAGACAAAAAATACACCAGCCTCGATTATAATCATTTAGATTTGTCTAATTCGCACTGAGAGTACCAATCATGTTGGGGAATACGGACAATGAATCGGTGTGGTTCACGTTTTTTTTTAGCTACTCAGAAGCAGACGTGAAAAAGCGATCGGAAGAGGCTAAGTCGGAGCGAGAAACAAAAAGCTTGATAAAAAAATGGAACGGAATAAGAGAGAAAGGATTATAACCATGAAATTTTCGAGATTCATATCTGTCGTTAATTTTTTAATTTTCTTAATTATTATTTTTTTATATTCGATCACCTTAACAATAATAGTAAAGACAGAAACTCATGGACCGCTAAAATCGAGGCCAGGCATTAAAATGTTATTTACACAATTACATAGATTGATAGCACGTACATTGTTTATATTTTGATATCCTAGCTTATATCATATTTGATTAGTGGCCAAAAAGTGAATTTTGAGGTAATTTCTTACATGAGAAAAATTTTAAAGCGCAAAATTTTCTTGCAAAATGAGAGAAACAGTCCAATGTCTCGCGATCACTCAGAGATCTCTTTTAATTTAGGTGCACAATTAAGCAAACTTTTTGTGTATAAGGTAAGCTTAGGATGATTTGTCAGTTACATTTATTTTATTGTAAATAGTGTTAAGCTCATTTAATGTGTTAAGTGATTGGAGGGCGAAGAGCCGCCCCGTGGAAGCACATTCAATAAACCATCATTATTATAGTTATTATTATCATCATGTTAATGCACGGGTCATTAGCCTTCTCGTTGTCCGAATTTCGGTAAAATACATCGATTTCATAGATCAATATCAGTATCCGGGCCAGAACCATTTTATTTCAGGTTAAAACGGCCAATATAAGACAGCACCATTAAACAACACTTATGTTATTAAGGTCAGTGGAAGGGAAACTTTTAGGGTAATTTTGCTTGTGAACTCTCGATTTTGACTAAATGATGACCAATAAATGTGGACCAATTTCGAATCGGTCGTTCAACACAAACGACATAGGAAGCATTTGAGCCGAACATCTGAATCCTGCTGGACAACTCTTTCTCGCATTATAGCGGAGCTCGCAGCATAGCCCCATAATTATACGAAATAGTATAGCATCAAGCCGAAAAAATTTGGACTTGAGACCGTACTACCGACCGTACAAGGTGCTACTTTTAGTGTGCGCGGCGAACTGTACCACGGGCACTATCTTAGCCATTACGTAATGGAAGGGCGAGGGAGATGGTAATGCGCAGGCGCGATTGCGCGCGTAACTTGTATACCCCATTAGTGTGCGCCTGGAAACACCGGCAGATGACAATAAAGTGCGCATACTCGAGTGTCGAGCTTCATTGTAGCGTACTGCGGGCACATGGCTAGGCATTGCATAGGGGTTTCACGTGGGCTAGTGGATGTGAAGCCGCGTAAGCAAATAATTTGCAACCTGCGTTTTGAGCGCGAAATCAAACTGGTGAGGTTCAAGTTCAAGTTAGTTTTGGAGTTCAAGTGAGGTTGAAGTGACTAAAATTCATCGTGACCAGCGTCTCGGTCACGTAATTCGATTATGTACTAGTCTTGTATATCTAAATACGGCAGTGATGCTCGGAATTCTAGCCTAGTTATTCAGGGCTATCAACTGTGCTTGAACTTGATGGGAGCAGAGAACAGCAGGACTTCAGAAAGCATTATTAAAACATTATTCCAAGCGGTCGTAGATCATGAGCAGAATTGTTAGACAGCTTTCGATGTTGGCCTTCAAACCCCTCTCGTCGCCTATCAGAAAGATCTCTTTAAAATCCTGAGTATTTATGCCAAAAGATTCTCAGCCAAAGCGCTTAAACACATAAATCAGTCATTTAAAAACCTCTTTGAAAAACAAATAAAGAAGGCACTTAACACAAGCGAAGAGTGAGAGGCGCGGAGTGCCAATTGAAAAAGTCCCGCTGTAAACAATCCGTATGGAACAGCTTCAGCTGAACCACTTTTAGATTTCACAATGAGGCCATACTGCTGTCAAGACGTAGCGTGAGGCACTTGCACCCTCAAACTTAAAAGCGGTGACGAGTTTGTCACCCCTAACGTCGTGCGCACCGTAGCCAAGTGTACCATCATTAATTATACATGGTCATTACAAAGAAGCTGAATTTCAACCGATGAGTAAATCAACCACGTGGAGAGTCCTTGAAGTTCAAGAGGACACACAGAGGAGATCAGTGCGGAATCTAGAAAATAATGTAGATTTTTAAGATTTTTTCCGAATTATAGACGAACTAGAACGCATAAGAGCAGAGCTTTTGTACAGCGTCAGTAACGCTGTCAGTGCATGCATTGCAACCTTGCACTGGATCTCGGATATTTCCTCTCGCTGATCTGAAGTCCTGTATTTCTCTGCTCCCATCAAGCGCAAACACGGCTGACAGCCTGGAAGAACTAGGCTTGAATTCCAAGCAAAAAATCACGTTATCGCTGTCTTATTTAAATTAAAGACTAAATAAAATCCTGTAGTTTGGTTCTGAAATGTTCATATAGGTTTGAATACCTTAACCTCTCTGAACTCAAATGTAAAAGAACAGAAACCAAGTTTTTTTTAAAAGTTTCCATGAAAACGCTGAACAAACGCTAATCAATATGATATTCGATACGTTTTGTTCACCTTTTTCGTCACGAGACAGAATCATTTGCCAGAGTTTAGCTGTTTAAAATGTTTAGAGAATCAATAAGTATGTTATAAAAGCTTTTCCCTAGTATCTTTTCTTTTTTAAGATGGTTAAAATCTAAGATTTATGAAGATAGCAAAATAAACGGTCGGAGGTTGTCAACAGACTAATTTGCATAATTCTGCGGTCACTCTAACAAAATTACCAAAAGTTTGAAGTCACTAGAGCGAAGGAAATTATGTCGCAAGAGGTCAAAAAGGGCCTTTTCCAGCTTTGATTATTAAGAGCTCTCAAAATTTTTAAAATCTTTTTTCCAGAAACCAATGTGGTTTTATTTACTTACTATCGAAGATAGTTTAATGGGCAAAGTTTGGGGCGAAACGTTTTTTCCAATGCAAAATGCCTTGGACCGCTCTTACAAAGATTGCACTTAAGTGTTATAATTCTTTATTTATTTGAAGTTTTTTACAACCCGAAAACAAGTGGTTGAGAATGCGTTTAACTTTAATTGTTCTTATTTTTCATTTTGGTATTAATGGCTTTCACTACAGTATGTTGTTTCCAAGTTACGTTATCTCAATGCAAATCGGCAATTTCACTCCCGGTTCAACATCTTCACGTGGCAGGCGCTACGTCTGCGAGAACAACACATTTTTTGGGTTCCCAACATCAGTGTTTAAGAAACAGCGATATTTACATTTGTCTTTCATTAGTAATTTTATGGGAGTGACAAGGTCGACTTTGAAATGCTTCAATTCAAGAGACTATGACGGACTAAAGCTAAAAATAAAGAAGAAAATTAGCACTAACTTTACAAGATAGCATTGCAGTCGATATTGTAGGCAAAACACAGCTAATTGATCGAAAGAAGTCCCGGTTAATGCCCTTTTGTGTAACATTGTAACAGCACCGTAAAAAAATTGTGGGTAACATATTTAGAAATGAGTCTGGAATCAAAGGCTTTAACGCTATAGACAATTTTAGCCAATAAATAAAAGTAAACGCAAAAATACTACATCCGAAGCAGCGCTGACGCACAACATTTGGTTTCTTTTACTTTTTAAACGAAATGACTTTTTTTAAAGTGCAGACTAACCTAGCATTCACGAATCTATAAATAAAAAGCAGCATCCGGTAAAAAGTATGCATTTTTTGGAACAAATTTGTTTATTTCCTTTAACCCACGCTTTTAAAAAAAAGCAATGTTATGTAAAAAGCAAATAAGAAGCATTATCGCTACGGGGAAGATGTCGGCCAATTTTACATTCGTTTGACTATAAGCTTATATCACGAGATTGTTAATTTTGGGCACTTTTGACGCACAATGTACTAGAGTTTTGATACAGGTAAACAGCAAAAATTTACCCTAAAAATAGCACCCAATAAAAAGTATGCATGAATTGAACAAAATGCATTATTTTAGGGTTCTCTGTAATTTTCAGCTCAACAGGTAAGGGACCTTTTCAAACCAGTAAAGCACATTTGCAGCGTCAGGCGGCTGGTCATTCTCAACTTTGTCATTTCCTAAAGCATGCAGTACATCGCACCTGTCAAAAATTTTCCATCGAAAAATTCATAATGTGAACAAGGTTGAACAAAACAAAGGCTGAACAAAACAAAGTAAAATTTTGTTTAAAAGCATTATATTTTACTATGCACTTTCCAAACTGCTTATAACGTAAACTGGTCTCCCTTCGATTTCGGGTGATATCTTTGGCGTCACTTACATAGCATATCGCTGGAAAATCAGCGGTGTCAGCTACGAATCCCATCGCCACGAAATCGAATCACATCGAAAAGCTGAATTCGTGTTCTAATCGTCTCAAATTCAGAACTTTTACGCTGTCGAGAGAGATTTTATTTCCAAGGCTTCTTTCAAATCGTTTTTTGAAACACATTTCAAGTAGGATTTCACGATGAAGACTAGAGTTGTCCCCACGTGTTCGTTATACAGCCGGCAATTGTAGAGCTGTCAAGGCGGTTATTTCTGGCAATTGACTGCTTTTCCATCGCTAGTACGTAACCTTTGTTTTGTTTACCCCTTAACGTCTTGTAAAGCTTACTAGCCATTCTTCATGACCTTTTGTTACTGGACAGAAACGACAGCATCATTTGCTGCCGTTTCATCGTGGAAGCTGAACAACTAAACGACACCACATTTGCACGTGCAGAGAACTGACAAATGTCATGAGATTTAGCAGAAAGCCCGCGAAAAATCACTCTTGCTTCGAAATTCGAAAGGTAACAGTCACTGTTAGCTAACTAAAGCACACGTAGATCTATAAAAACTAAAAAAAAAATTGAAAAAAGTGGTGTAGTAGTCAATCAGCTAAAGGATATCCGTTGCTAAATGAAAAACGATCTTTAATGGTCGTTGCAGTTAACGTCACGGTTGGCCTTAGAAAATTAAGAAATCTGCATTTCAAATCAGATAATAACTGTCCTACATGGATAATTGTCATAAAAACCTTGACATAATTTTATTTATTTACATTTAGTCATTATCTAGAGACCAAAAGCCATCTCGTCGGTTCTTTCTTTCTAGTAAAGACATAAGAAATTAAATTTTCAACAGCAGTCGAAACAAACTAATGTTGTTTCTTGTTTAGCCATGATGACTTCTTTTTGGACTGTTTCCGTTCATGAAGTAAATAACCTGCACTGGAAATGATATTTTCTGCCCCATTATATCAAGCTAGGGAGTTAAAGTTTCAATCTATATTCAGCTATTTTGTCGATATGAACCGAAACAGTTGTGGCACGGCACTCAGTTGATGGCCTTGCCTTCGTCTACTGATCCTAATACACTTTCTCCTTCGCCTCATCTAATCCTGAATGGAGCATGTGCATTCAAGCCTGCAATCGTTTAACTAGAACATGCCATCTGCAATGCTTTCATTAGCTCAACCATAAGCCGTTGGAGGATTTCATACTGTGGTAACGGCTGTATTTGAACGTAAAGTCGCGGTAGATGGTCTGTGTAACAAAGTATTACCCTGCCCGTGGCATCGGATCATTCTTTTGAAAGCTGCATTCATTTTGCCATTAAGACCGATGTACAGCCAGGGGTTTATGGCACTGTTAGCTTGACCAAGCCAATGGATAGAGTAGATAGCAATGGGGTGCCAAGTCATTCCAGCTGTCACTGCAAAGTTCATTTGAAGCACTTGCATGGGAAACCAGCACACCGCAAAAACCACCACAACAATAATGAGCGTTCGAACAACTTTTTTCCTTGGAATCTGCTCATCTGGCTGGAGTCTGGAAGATTCAAGTTGGCCAGGAATTTCGTGAAACCATATCTTTCGCGCAATTATGATGTACAGGGCAGAGATGATGGCAAGAGGCATGATGTAGTTGATGAGCAGTAGGTAAGTCCAAAAGGGCACCCGCGGGATATGTTCGTCTGTATAAAAGCATTTTCCAAGGCTATCCTCGGCCATGTAAGAAAATGGTGTGACGGCCATTAAGGTCCAGGATGCGATCCAAATGACTGGTAAAATAATTTTGGCTCTTCGGAACCAAATCATTCGCTTCAAAGGGTGTATAACAGCAAAATATCGATCGAATGCCATCACGACAAGGCTGAAGATCGAGGCTGTCATTGACACATTCACAAGATACATTAAAGAGCGGCAGAATAGATTCCCGACCGCACCAGTGAATTCAGAGACGTAGAAGTGCACAATGGAGAAGGGCATCTGAAATACTGCAATCAATAAATCGGCAATCGCCATATTGACAAACAAGAAACTAGTCAAAGTTCTTGTCTCACGTTTCCTCCAGACGATGTAAATCAGCAAAATGTTTCCTTGCAAAGCAACGATCATAGTAACAGCATATGCCAAGGTGAAACCCAATTCCATATTTGAATGCAAGCTATGTATATAAATCAAAGTGCTCTGTGAGCAAACTTGTGAATTGACAGATGACTTACATAATTTTTTGGATTATGTTTAAGGTTATCTGGCATAGGGAATTTTGTGGTTGATTGTCATATTTAGAGTACGAGCAGTAGTTCAGTGTTCGCTAATGTAGCAAAGAAACAAAGTAACGTTGGGATAAGAAGGCATTACAATTGAAATGATCATGCTTTTACATTTGACAAGGGAGAATGATGTCATGTGTTTTAAACATTTATTTTTTTTTAGAGGGAACGACAACGAATCCTGCGATCTGATTGGTTCTTTACCCGGTCAGTATTTTCCTATCTCTGCCCACGGGCCACGGTAACGCTTTCGTGAGTCGCCAAGTACATCCCAACTTTCGTTGCCATTTTTCATAAATATATCTCGTTTTTCCGGCTGGGCAGTATTTTTAAGCAAACACTTCGGTCACTACCTCAAACCAATAAATAACTTATGAATCCTCTGTTTTCTCTGTCTCAAACCACTTTGGTCGACAGAAGAATATTGGTTTCAGAATGAATTTGTAGAAGAAATAGTGTCAATTACGTTGGTTGACAAGCGGCCTAAAAACCGTCTGCAGTTAACTTTAATCGTTCACAAAAAGTACATAGAAAGTTGAAACGTGAAGTATTTGGTTACAGTTAAACTGAACGATGTAACTTATATTCATTTGATATCTGACTTTTCTCAAACAATTTGTTCGTAGTAAAAGAGCGAGCGAAGTTTTAATTTAAGTTCTACAACAAATTTACACTCTCGGTGAGTCTTTCCAAGTCCATTCAATTTGGACATTTGTACCGTAAATTGCACAATAGAAACTGAAGGAGTTCAATGAGAAAAGGCCGCATTAAATCCCCGTTTGTTTCGTTGGAGTGTGCCATTCGAATATAGTTTTCGTGGAGGAAAGACCAGATTTACACACGCCATTACAGCAAACAAACGAACAAACTCTCACAACTTCAAAATAGAAAAATTGAATTTACTCACATTTATTTTCCTCGCCGTTTACTAAATGAACAGAGGTAAATCTCTGTTCATGAATGAATCGTCGATAAGAGTGAATAATACTTTCCGTCAGATCATTAACTGTTTTTGAAGAAAACATTGTCGTGACAGTCCTAGCTAAACTAGTTCCGTTGTTTTTCAAATGTTCTTGCGCTTTTTTTTTCTTATGCGCTCCCTAATTGACAGGTGTCAGATTGTGACAGATACTTGTAAAAATAATGTTCAAAGTTTATTTGGAAGCCTTTTAAATCACCTTTATCGTTACGGAAATGAAAATGTTTCGGTGAGGCATCTCTCTTTAATTTGCATCACCTTTATTTTAACTACCATTTACTCGCTCAAAAATTGTTCAGTTTATGAAAGATCTTGCCATATTTACAGCCCCAAATCATTCGTGTTCTTTCGGAAAGAATTTCGTCAAGTTTAAAAAAATATGCTATTTATCAGCTAAGGGTCGGTCCGTATGGTGAAAAACTGTGACCTCGGTCTTGAAATGTTTTTCACCATACGGACCTCCCATCCGGCAAATAACACACATATATCATTTGTGTTTCTGGTTCAAAAGAGAAGGTTGGAAGTAAATGTGGGTGAAAAGTGAAATTTACTGTCTATCATCGTAAATATTGGAAAATCAAGGCAATACTGTCTTAATGAAAACATTAATGATTCCCTATTTATCAAATGAGACAAACGGGAACGAGTTTTGAGTGACGTAACTAAGCCAAGACTGCCACCGTCATTTTGGATTTCCACCTGGATAGGTTTTGGTCACGTGCTAGGCAACGTATCATCAAGAACAAGATAGAATTTCATTTCAGGCCTATTTATCCATTTTGTGGTGTATAAGTTTTGCATTTTGGTACGTAATATCTATTTAGAATCTTGAAAAAAAAGAAAAAGAAAGATAATTGTTCTTTAAAAATTCATTGGAAATCGGTGGCCAAAATTTTTGTTTAGGTATTATTTGATTTTCGAGTTAACCTGTAATTTCGTCAGTCGCCGGCACCTTTTGTTGCTTCACACAGGAAAAACACACGATACGAAATATAATGATCAATTTTGTCCCCAATCTCACGCCATAACAGAAAAAGCTTTTGAACACCTGTAAAACTCCGAGCGCTTCGGAGTAAGTGATATTTTTAGTGAATCTTCGGATTGTTTTCAAGTTCAAGGATTGTAAATTACAATTTTATGGAAAACGAAAGTTGTTCTCTTATTTCAGTGTGAATCCTCGCACGCCTGCCAGTCGGTAGCGCCGCTTGTTGAAACTAAAACGAAAAAAAATAATTCTTTTAAGATTATCATTGGCTTCTTTTTCACCTCACCACTATTCTTAGCAGTAAAGGTCGTCATTTCTTTTGTTTATTACTCGCCAAAAACTATCAAATGCACTCAAAAGCCTAAAATTGAAAAAAAAGTTTATAGGAATCGACCAAGCGAGCGAGCAAGTGCCATTCTCCACATCACATCTACAACTACAACTCGCTCTTGCGCATGCGCGCAATTCACGAGTTAAAAAAATGACAAATTTAAACTCTTATTTAACCTCGAGATGCTTCTTTCTCTTCACTTTCGTACAACTAATACGGTTTGTATATCTATTTTCAGAGTACACAACTTCCTGGCTTATATCAAAAGCACTTGTTCAAATAAAGTTGTCATGGAAACGTCAAATTTGTTAGTATTCATTATCAATTAAAGATGATAAATAATATTTTATTTTATTTATAAGCAGGCTGTTAGGCTTGATCAGAGAGTTGCAATGTTTGGTGGTGAATGAAATAATTGCATAGAAAAAGCTCTGTAGGTCTTAAATCTATTTCTAAAAATTTGCCATTACGTTTATAATAGGAAAGACGAACTTATATCAGTATCCTCATGATATCAAAACTCTTCAATGGTGTGATCATGAGTTATCAGTTTGAATTAAAAACAAAAAAAAACATTATTTTATATCATTTTTTTTCGCTTCAGCAGACCAAATCTAGTAGGGACGCTTAGAATACGTTCCTAGATCCAGAAAATGTTGAGAAAACCAACATCATATTCAAACATTACGTTCTTTTTCGAAATTTCAAAAATATTTAGAAAACGTTTTGTCTCGGCTCTGGAAAAAATACAAGTGTTCGTCAAATTTTACCCACAGTAGAACGTGAAAGTGAAAGTGAAGGTCTGTATCAGCTATACTTTCATATAAATATAGTTTTCCCATTCTGTCAGGCTTTTCGCAGTAAAACCTTTAAACTGAGTTAGCAGATATATTTGTGACAAAGTCACCTGTAGCAAATCTTTACGGTGGCTAATTTACATTATCAAATCGGTTGATAAAACCGAATGACCTTATATTTAAGGAAAGAGAACGTAAGAACCTTGAAAAACGCAGAAAAACCATTTTACTAAGTACAGAGAGGAGGCAGGTGACCAAGAACTGCGCGATTGATGCGCTCTATTTTCAAACGAATTTTATTGACAAGTTCTTAGACGACAAGATCCTCAAATTTTTATTTAATTGATCTTCGGCGTTTCAAATGTTACCCGGCCATCGTGCCTGAAATTAAAAATTATCGCTTACTTAAACTTCACCTGAGGAGGTTTCCTCTTTGAAAATATGTTAAGATGAAAAACCAAAATACACAGAACAGAGAAGAGGCAGCTGATCAAGAATGGCTGCAAATAATTGGCTCTATTTTAAAATTTTGTTAATCAATTATTGAACGAAGAGACCCTTAAATGTTTACTAAATAGATCTTCGGTGTTAAAAATGTTACCATTGTGCCTGAAATTCAAAATTATCGCTTACCTATAGTTCACCTGATGTGTGTTTCCTCTTTGAAATTGTTTTAAGATGCAAAACCATACCACACAGTACAGAGAAGAGGCAGCTGTTCAATAATGTCCTCGATTAATGGGCTCTATTTAGAGACAAATTTTCTAAACGAATTCTTGGACTACGAGATCCTTAAATGTTTACTAAATAGATCTTCGGTGTTGAAAATGTTACTATCGTGCCTGAAATTCAATTTTATCGCTTACCTATACTTCACCTTACATGTGTTTTTCGCTTTGAAAAGGTATCAAGATGCATTAGAATTAGTACGTCAGCTTTCAATATCTGAAGGCAAAAAATTCCCCAGCCTCAATGATAAACATTTAGATTTGTCTAATTCGCAGTGAGAGTACCAATCATGTCGTAGAATACGGACAATAGATCGGTGTGACTCACGTTTTTTGAGCTAATCAGGAGCGGACGTGAAAAAGTGATCGGAAGAGGCTAAGTCGGAGCGAAAAACAAAGAAGAAGGAAATGATTGAGAAGTTAACGTTGTCGATTATAAACATGAAATTCTCGAGACTCATAACTTTCGTTATTTTTTAATTTTTCATGGACAGCTAAATTCGAAGCCAAGCATTACAATTACCTTTCGGTTCTTCTGAAGAGCCGCTTGATTTAAAAGTTATTTACATAATTACATAGATGGATAACAAGTACAATATTTACATCGTAATATCCCTATATCACATATGATTAGTTGCCAAAAAAGGAATTTTGAGGTAATTCCTTACGCAAGAAAAATTTTAAAGCGCAAAATTTTCTTGCAAAACGAAAGAAACAGTTTAATGTCTCATGATCATTCAGAGATCTCTTATAGTTTAGATATACAGTTAAGCAAACTTTTTGTATATTCGGTAGGCTTAGGATTATTCGTCAGTTACGTTCATTTTATTGTAAATAAAGCTCAATAAATGTGATTATCAGTTAGGTGATTGGAGGGCGAAGAGCCACCTCGTGGAAGCACATTCAAGAAACCATTATTATTATTATTGTATCATCATGTATATAATTTAGATCTACGGTATGGTACACGGGTCATTAGCCTTCTCGTCGTCCGAATTTCGGTAAAACACATCGATTTCCCGGATCAATATCAGTATCTGGGCCAGAGCCATTTTATTTTACGTTAAAACGGATTATATAAAACAGTACCATTAAAAAACACTGATGCCATTAAGGTCAGTAGAAGGGAAATTTTCAAGGTAATTTTCCCTGTTAACTCTCGATTTTGACCAAATGACGACCAAATGTGGACGAATTTCGAATTGGTCGTTAAACACAAACGACACAAGAAACATTTTAGCCTAATATCTGTCGTGCTGGACAACTTCTTCTCGCATTATACCTGAAACTGAATATGCCTGGTTTAAAGGAGATATCTCATAAAAGGTGTGTATTATTTGCTTTTTGACTGCTGTTTCGTTAATTATTGTACTGTAAACGCGCTGTCAAGTTTCTAACACGATAATAAGCCTCCCGTCAATGGTGTTAAGTTTCTGATAAGCCCTCCGTTCTGCAATAACTCTCGGTACCCTTTTCATATAAACAGAAAAACTTCAAAATAAACATATATTGCAAAATCATACTGTTATGATAATGGTATGAAAATGGTTATCCATATTGCGGCTATGCACTTGGGTAGGTCATTTCAAAAAGCACTCATTATCCTCTATTTCAGAACCTCCATTGGTTCCGTTTTAACTACGCTTGCTGTATACGGTATTCATTGAAGTTGGATCTAATTTGGATTGCATTGAAACAAAAGAAATATGATTCCTATTGTGGCTTTCTGTGAGTTTTTCATAAGCACCCTTCTCCACTCTAATTAGCCCCTTCTTTGGCATACCGGCCTCCTTGGAGCGATCACAGCATGAACAATTTGAATCTTTATATATTTTCATATTTTGCGTAATTTCCATGGGTGAATAAGCCGGATCATGTTTATTACAGCTGACGTTTATGTGAACTACAAGGCTTTCACGCTATAGTCAATTTTGGCCAATAAATAAAAGTAAACGCAAAATTCCTACATCCGGGGCAGCACTGACGCACAATATTTGGTTTCTTTTACGTTTTAAATGAATAACTTTTTTTTAAATGCAGACTAACCCAGCATTCAAAAATCTAAATATCTAAAAATAAAAAGCAGTACCCGGTAAAAAGATTGCATTTTCTGGAACAAATTTTGCTTATTTTCTTTACCCCACGCTTTTAAAAAATACAATGTTATGTAAAAAGCAAAGAAGAAGCATTATCGCTACGGGGAAGATGTCGGCCATATTTACAATCGTTCGACTACCGGCTTATATCACGAGATTCTGAATTTTGGGCACTTTTGACGTACAATGTGGTAAAGTTTTGATACAGGTAAACAGCATCCGCGAAATTTACTCTAAAAACAGCGCCCAATAAAAAGTATGTGTGAATTTGAACAAAATATCTTATTTGTTTCATTTTTCGAAAACTCTGAATTCATTTTATAAAGGTAAACCAGAACTTTAAGAATTAAAAATGTACGAACGAACCGTTCTAGATAATATTGCTTTCTAACGAGCAGTTGATGGCAAAGTGGTCCTGGTTAGTCAGCTTTCTGTAACGTTTTAACCACAGAATCAAAACATCCCTGCTGACTCATATGAAGTTATGAGTTGTTAAGTTAGAATTGCGACTGAGACACTTTTTGACAATATCGTTTTTAAAAGAAAATAAACACGCTAAGTTGAACGCCGTTAGGAAACGACGTTATTCTGTAACAAAAGGAAAAATTTTGAAAAAAGCGGTGTAGTAGTCAATCAGCTTAAGGATAAACGTTGTTAAATGAAAAAAAACGATCGTTATGGTCGTTGCATTAAAGGTCACGGTTAACCTTAGAAAGAAGAAATCTGCATTTCAAATCAGGCAATTACTGTCAGACATTGATAATAATAACCTTAATACAATTTTTATATTTGAATTTAGTCATTATCTAGAGAAAAAAAGCCATCTCGTCGGTTCTGTCTTTCTGGTAAAGGAGTCAAAACATTTGTCAAAACAAATTAATGTTGTTTCTTATTTAACAGTGATGACTTCTTTTTTGACTATTTCCGTTCATGAAGTAAATAACTTGCACTGGAAATGATATTTTCTGCCCCATTATATCAAGCTAGGGAGTTAAAGTTTCAATCTATATTGAGGCGCAGCGCTCAATTGATGGCCTTGCCTTCGTCTACTGATCCTAATACACTTTCTCCTTCGCCTCATCTAATCCTGGATGGAGCATGTGCATTCAAGCCTGCAATCGTTTAACTAGAAAATGTTATCTGCAATGCTTTCATCAGCTCAATCATAAGCTGCTGGAGGATTTCATACTGTGGTAACGGCTGTATTTGAACGTAAAGTCGCGGTAGATGGTCTGTGTGACAAATTATTACCCTGCCCGTGGCATCGGATCATTCTTTTGAAAGCTGCATTCATTTTTCCATTAAGACCGATGTACAGCCAGGGGTTTATGGCACTGTTAGCTTGACCAAGCCAATAGATAGAGTAGATAGCAATGGGGTGCCAAGTCATTCCAGCTGTCACTGCAAGGTTCATTTGAAGAATTTGCATGGGAAACCAGCACACCGCAAAAACCACCACAACAATAATGAGCGTTCGAACAACTTTTTTCCTTGGAATCTGCTCATCTGGCTGGAGTCTGGAAGATTCAAGTTGACCAGGAATTTCGTGGAACCATATCTTTCGCGCAATTACGATGGACAGGACAGAGATGATGGCAAGAGGTATGATGTAGTTGATGAGCAGTAGGTAAGTCCAAAAGGGCACCCGCGGGATATGTTCTTCTGTATAAAAGCATTTTCCAAGGCTATCCTCGGCCATGTAAGAAAATGGCGTGACGACCATTAAGATCCAGGATGCAATCCAAATGACTGGTAGAATAATTTTGGCTCTTCGGAACCAAATCATTCGCCTCAAAGGGTGTATAACAGCAAAATATCGATCGAATGCCATCACGACAAGGCTGAAGATCGAGGCTGTCATGGACACATTCACAAGATACATTACAGATCGGCAGAATAGATTCCCGACCGCACCAGTGAATTCAGAGACGTAGAAGTGCGCCATGGAGAAGGGCATCTGAAATACTGCAATCAGTAAATCGGCAATCGCCATATTGACAAACAAGAAACTAGTCAAAGTTCTTGTCTCACGTTTCCTCCAGACGATGTAAATCAGCAAAATATTTCCTTGCAAAGCAACGATCATAGTAACAGCATATGCCAAGGTGAAACCCAATTCCATATTTGAATCCAAGCTCTGTGTATAAAAAAATGACAAATTTAAACTCTTATTTAACCTCGAGATGCTTCTTTCTCACTTTCGTACAACTATCACGGTTTGTGTATCTATTCTCAGGGGACAGAACAGAAAATTTTTCTTTTTATGGTGTCATTAGCAATTCCATTTAATTTAGTTTCAGTTAATGTTTGCTTTTATCTAATTGTGATAATCTAAGAATCTCTGAAACAACCTGTCGACGATTACATCGTTGTGGTGCAGGAAATTGGTTTAATGGAAATTTAATACAAATTTCTTGACTAGCAATTTCCTTTCTTCGTTATCACTAAATAGAAGAGAATATTCAAATTGTAAACCATTACATTTATTGCTTTGTCGTCCCTGTATAATCAAAGTAGATAAATCCTTTTTCCTTACCTGCAGGTAAACATAAAAATTTTGTTCCACTTTTCGCTCAGGGCACGAATTTCATGCTGATACTCTTGGAAGAAAACAATTTGTCTCGGCTCTGGAAAAAATACAAGTGTTCGTCAAATTTTACCCAGATGAGAAAGCGAGAGAGAAATTGAAAGTAAAAGTGAAAGTGTAAGTCTGTATCAGTTCCACTTTCATATAAATAATATTGAAGCTCTTTTCTGACATGCCAGGCCTTGTTATTCTTCTGTGATAAACATCTTAATATACATATATACTCTTTTTTAATACACTTTTAACCAGTAAAACGTGCAAAATGAACCCTGGAGGGTTTCCTTTTTTCACTCACCGAAAATAATATTCTAGTTATACCAGCCATTTATGGAATATTTTTTATAAGCGCGTAAAAATTGCAAGCGTACTTAAATCTACTTAGGCAATTTATGTTGGCTAGAGTTCGCTTTTCTCCTATTGCGGGTGGTTGCATAGACTTGGAAAGTTTAAAGTGTGCGGTTAGGAATAATTTTGCCGCTTTTGAGTTTTTGTTTGTGTGCTTGTTTTTTCTTCAAATGCATATTGGCATGTGTTTGAATTACAATTACAGTGTTCGTATTGGTCGCCTGGAAGAATCATACTGTATGAGATACATACAAGTGAACACGCTGACCTAAAAAATAAAACAAACTTTCATAGTTAAGCGAGTACTTTGTGGTATTGTTGCCACGCGCGGAATGAATTTCTCTATAGTGGAAAAATTTTCACGAGCCTCGGGTACAGCGTAATCTTCTGATACAAGAAACGCAAAGTTCGTGAGAATCAAATAATAATTTTGATTTTCAGAAAGTGGTCTAATGGGTCATTATTTATTAGATGTCGAGCTAAAGTCTTTGTTCACCTTTTTGCGAATGTAAAATATCTTTTCATAATGCCTAAACGATAACCAGCGGCCTGAAATATGTGGTGGATATAGAAAATAATACTTAGGCGCGCGTTTAACTTGATACCTAACCAGTGAGATTTCTAGCTGAACACGAAAGGAGTAATTTCATATCTACATGGGAAGCATATATTATTTTCTTAATCATATAAACACAATAGCCCCCAGTTAACTGATAAGCAAAGTTGACTTTATCAATGGCTGAAAATCTAAGGATCGACAATCCCCAAATAAAAATCGTAAAGTGCGTTGGCGCACTCAAGATGAAAACGTGCTTTGAATCACTACAAAAACGAACAATGGGCCTAATTTTCAATATATAAAATTCTCAGTTTTTGACTTGGTCCTTACAGATAGAAGAAATCTTTAAACTGCCAAAAGCGGACTGTGGCAAATCTCCCAGTTGTCGATTTTCGTTCTCAGCGGCGAGATATGCCATTATCAAAGCTACTGAATACGTAATTTTCGGTTTTCTTTTCGCATTTATTTTGGTTTCCTTCCCCTCCTAGGAAAGTTTGAACGTCACTGTCTGTAAGCGATACGGATTTTTCAGTGTTTCAGTGGCCATAATCCAAAAATATTTCGACAAACAACCTTGGATTGAGAATGGTGAAGGCGACTTTGTTATCGACACTCATTCATTAACTTGCCCGAGCTGTGCGATTGACGTGGAAATCCTAGTATAACACCGTATTTTATGTGATAAAATGTATTTATCTGCTCACCGTTTGATAAGACGTGTTATGGCGGTGAACTAGAAGAAAATTCTATAGAATCTGTACCAAAAGTAACAACGCTCAAGTCTTATGATTGACTGCTCTGAACGCAGCTTTGAGCTCTCTTTTGTCCGATATCTATGATTATAATTTTCCTCCTTGTTTGCCATTGATTTCAGACAAACTACCTTTTTATCCGGTTATTTTGACGGAATTTACTTTTTTGCGCTGCCTCACCGATCTCAGATCTCGGTAATATTTAACGTAATCCTCGATGGGAAATGGTCGTTTCTCGAGAAATAAACAACATTTGCAGAAACGTTTCCAGGGATTTCCGCAATTGCGAGAAAGTTATCATTTGCTTGCATCAGTTCCAAGCAAAAAATGTTGCAAGTGACGTAAGTTGAATTATTAAGTTCGCCAAAACCATTCAGTTACTCATCGTTAGGATTTTAATCATTGATGTCCTGATCACGATCAAGAACGGGCCATCTGATATTCAAACTGCAAACACCGCTGAAGACCAAAACAATTTATAGAAGCAATCTTTCTATCGTGGTCAGTTTTCTGTTCGTTGCTTAATTTTTTTTTTCTAAACGAGCTTTCAAGGTGTTATATGCATAACTTATTGCCTTAGGAACCAGCTCAGATCTGAGTGAGAATGCTGGTCACCAGCTTATAAAGGTGACACTTACTAAGCTGTCAATCTTCATGTATCGTCATCAATTCTCACTTAGTTAGCGAATCACGTTAACTTAGGAGAAACAGTTCCTGCATGCTAAGTATGTACCTACGAGATGTTGACGCTTTACAAAATCATTTTCTACCTTAAATTATTTACTCTTACGGTCAAGGTCAGGCAAAACAAAAACAAGATTGACAATATAAAAAGTATAATAACTTACTGACAGAATCAGAATCATACTTTAAAAAGATATCTTAAGGGAAAATAGCACTCGAAGACTGTTACATAACAACATAAAATTCGGAGAAGAAAGAGCGTACCCAAGTTACTGCCTTTAAAGGAGCTAAGTGCTTTTCGTACAAGTTACCTGATTATAAATTTAGGGCGGAGGATGAAAAGTATCACTTGTTTACATCTGAGGTCACCTCTAATAAGAACCGGTCGAGCGCGCTAAATAAAAATTTGATAACTATTTTCTTAATCGGGAATTCGACATGGAATTAACTTAACAAAACAAGAATATGAAAGAGGCTAAAAATATGAGAAGGGTTATTTCCAAGAAATTACTGTACGGAATCAATTTTTATTAGGTAAAGTCATTTTCTTCGTAATTGAACATCTTTTCGCAATATATTGAAAATGTTCCAATATTTAGCCGCAAATCGTAGTTTACATAGAAACATCTTTCTCAATGTCAAGTTCACGATCGCAATAAGTAAGATGAGACTGCCAAAAGGATAAGACCACCAAAAGGAATAGAAAATGATCAACTTCCTTATTATAAGTTGTTTTTACTGAATAGTTTATGGTAATATATTATTTCCATTCATTTTCCGAACACTTAAATGAGTTAAAAAAATGTACAGAAAATTGTTGCTGAATGCCAATTTTGTATTTAAAATAAAGGCAGCTGTTTCCTACACAAACAGTAGTAACCACAACTGATGAAAATATCGGAAGATGATCTCATAAACAACTCCATTTTCAATTTGTGAACTCAAATACCGAGAAGACTCCAGGTTATATATTTCAATGCTACATTTCCGTCCGTACTATTTGTATATTCATCCACGAGTCATCTTCATGTCACTCCCCTCGTTTTTAACCTCAACAAGTTTAAAAAATTGGAAATTACTTCTATTCATTCCATGTGAAATTTCTGCTGTATGAACATGAGATCTATTAAAAAGGTCCGGATTTGTCAGTCGTATCGAAGAACAAAATATGTTCCCGAAGACCGAAGGAAAAAACATGCAATCAGCAAATAAAACAGTTAGTAGTCCTCTCAGCAGTTTTAACAGAGGTGCTAAGCCAATTGACTGCTGGGAGGTGTGACAAAATTATCTCCACCTTTCTATCTTCTCTTCGGAAAATTAAGGAAGAGAGATTTGAAAATCAATTGTCGAGTCCCTTCGTTCCAAAGATTTTCTTCCACCATTTCCTTTTCTTGAAGGAATCTTTTATCATTGATTATCACTGCTTTTAGCAAATACACAGATCATTAACTTTAATTGCTAGGTACAAACAGAGGTTCTTTGCTGTGCAACCATCGGTTCCGTTCAACCTCAAAATAGCGATTTCCTGAGGAAGTTTGGCATGAAAAATATGATTCATTATGAGGAAGTTCATAAACAATAATTCCGATTTACGCGGAATTTTCTACAAAGCAAAAAAGATCCAAATCTAGTGTGGATCCATAATAATTGAGTAATTTCCTGATATAACATTACTGATTATCATTCCACGGAAGTTAATGTGATAAATTCTCAGCTCAAGGAAGGACGTGAGCAGAAGTGATTTTGATGTATGCCTGTAGAGATGCCTCTAAAGGGGAAGTCCTTGTCAGGAAAAATGGCAATTACATGAGTCATTCGTGAAAGAACGTAATGTTTGTTTAATTGTAAGAATTCACTCACGCCCTCAAGAGCAGCGCTCTAGATCCTTCGCTGCGAATACAAAAAATGAACTTTCACCGTGATTCGGTTTGATCTTAATGCCATTCTCTGTTTAACCAAAACTTGTCATGGAGTACTTACCGTTGATGAGTTTTAGTTTGTGATAAACAATGTAAAGATTCTGTCGGTTAAATAACTGATCATGAACGCTTAAAAAAGTTTATCATCTCCGCTAATCCGTGTCTTGAGAATTGGCGAATGTTGTGCTCATGAACCAGGTAACTCACCGGGTTTTGAGGTCAGCAAACGATTTTGGAAGATTACCGCTGTTGTGTCTGTCATCAGATTCGAATTAAACCTCAAATTTTGAGGCCATATGGCCACAAGATCTCCTTGAAATACATTGCCTGAGGCAAAACGGAAGGGATGAAATTACCGTTGAACAGTTCTATCATCAACGGCCATCCCGAGGAGAAAAACATAGGTCTTTTTCCGGAGTGGCCGAACGTGAATTTACAGCTGCCTTTTCCTTGTACAATTTTGAGCTGATCAAATATATTTTTTATCATAAGGATCCATGTTATGAGTCCCCTTCAGAAAGTTTTCAAATCAGATTTTTGTGGTTTTTTACTTTTAAATAATTTCTTCGCCACTGAGATAACATTTTTCCATATTTATCATTGGAACCTAAGTCACCGTCTATTTAAGACTTTGAAGCCCATCCTTTTCCAGTTGGGTATCCTTCTACACGTTTGCTCTTCGTTTGTGAGGTCCACACAGGTATGTTTTCATCAAGGATGGAGGAAATAGAAGGAAAAATGACACTGATCACTTTAGCAAACGGCCGTGATACGACAGACGACTTTGGGTCATGTTGATAACATGTATTCTTTCGTCCATATGTAAACACCCTACGTAGTATGATTACGTCATACCTTGAGGAAAAATGATGGTAACCAAAGGTATTTTTGTTCTAATAAAGGAACCTAAATCAATAGTACCGCCATTGTACCAACAATCAATTTTCCTCTCCATTGATTAGCCGTTGTGATTAATGTGGTTTTGGTTTCACGAGACTCAATCTAGAGGACCTCAATGGGGATCGATAACTTTGACGGCTGACGGTTTATTTTTAAGGCTTTTGACGATTGATGGCAAACTATCAGCACCTTTAACGGTTGACATTTGAAAATATTTTTCTACGTATTAAAACAAATATTAAGTTTTTTGTTTTTTTTAATTATTAAAAATGAATGTTACGTCAGTATCTTGCGCATTTTAGGATTGAATCACATTCGATTGTTACGTCAGTATCTTGTGCACTTTTAAGATTCTCCGGATTTCATTGGAATCTTGCGTTAGCCCTTCCACGCCTTTAGGATTCCTTTTCATCGGATTGCTACGTTAACATCTCGAGCACTTTCCGATTCCCTTCCTTCTGCTTGCTACATTAGTATCTCGTATACTTTAAGGATTTTCTTTCATTGGATTATTACGTCATTATATCGTGCACATTAACGATTCTCAGTCACTGGATTGTTACTTAAGTATATCGTGCACTTTTAGGATTATCTTTCCTTCGATTTTTACGTCAATTGTCATGTGTATTCAGGATTCAGTTCCACTCAATTTTTACGTTTGTATCTTGCGCACATTTAAGATCCTCTTTCATCGGAAAGTTAGTTCGTATCTTGTGAACTGTAAGGATTCTCAGCTTTCATTGAATTAATACCTGCCTCGCGCAACATTAGGTTCTCCTTCATCTGATTGTTACGTTAACACGCTAGTACCTCGCACACTTAAAGGATTCTCAGCTTTTAGTGGATTGTTACGTTGTACCTCCCTCGCGCCATGCCATGCATATTCAGGATTCAGTTCCATTCAATTTTTACGTTTGTATCTTGCGCACATTTAAGAGCCTCTTTCATCGGAAAGTTAGTTCGTATCTTGTGAACTTTAAGGATTCTCGGCTTTCATTGAATTAGTACCTGCCTCGCGCAACATTAGGTTCTCTTTCATCCGATTGTTGCGTTAACGTGTTAGTACCTCGCACACTTTTAGGATTCTTGGCTTTCATTGGATTGTTACGTTAGTATCTCGCGCACGTTTAGGATTTTCTTCTATCTGAATGTTACGTTCGTTTCTCACGCGCATTTATGATTCTTTTTCATTCGTTTCATTAATGAAGTCAGCTATCTTTAATTTTAAGGTATTAAGCTAAATATCAAAATATTTTCAAATTACCGGTTTTCTAGACAAAAATCAATGAAAATGACGACGAACTGAGCAGTTTTTGAAGTCTGGAGACTAGTTACCATTGTAAACATTCTTCCAGATCCAAAATTTTTGTGAATAGTTTAGCAAGCGGCTAAAATATGGAGATTTTTTAAACTGTTTAAAGGCCCAGTCAAAGGCACGTATCATTTCAACACATCGTGCAACATTGTTGGATCGTGCTGTGAGATGTTGTGAAGGACCTGACCGAACGCGTACAACATCTTGCAACATTAAAAAATGTTGCCACAAAAATTTTCAAACTTGATCCAACACCATCCAACATCTTGCAATATGTTGCTACTGAGTGGCCAAACGTGTGCATCACGTTGCGCGCAACAATGTTGCAAGACGTTGCATTCGTTCAGCTGTGCCTTAAAGGTTGATACTGATTTGCATCTTTGACGACTTACGGTAGAAATCTTTACTTTTTGACGACCGACGTTTTTACTCAATTGCGACCATTATAGATAAGAACCCTGAGCAAACCACGGCGGTGAAGGCAACCAAGACGTGGCAAAACAAGAGATCTAATGGACAGGCCCCGGTTGTTCGAGGATTGGATAACGCTATCCACTGGATAAATCTCTATCCGGAGGATAACGCCATACGTTATGCTATTACTTATCCGCTGGATAGCGATTTATCCATTGGATAGTGTTATCCGCCCTTTATACAACTGGGCCCAGAACAATAGCTCAGTGCGTGCGTTTAAATTCATCTGCATAACTGTAACGTGAAATTTTGTGGTATGAGAGGGGAATTCTCAGCGACAAATTATCTAAGTTTTAATTTGGAACTCAACGCTGCTCAAATATGTTATGCTGAAGTTGAAGTGTGGCGTCCTAACACATTCAGCTATTCGCGAAATTAATTTTTTGATCGACGACATCTTAAGCGGTTGCCGTCCTGACTCTTAAACATCCCGATCCCAAAACTCTCTTATCACGCACGGATTACCTCCAGAAATTACACCTGTGTTACACAAAGACTCAAAAGTTCTTGAAGAAAATCCCAATTTTTCAAACTGAGAACATATCAAGATGCACTAATCGAAACGAAACGAAACCAAGCTGTGTAACGCAATTGAGGGCACAGAGTTTGCAAGGGTCAATATCAGGGTCAGAGAATCAATATGGTATGTAATGACAACCTTTTCTTAACAATAGAACAAGATTCTGAGAACTGATTCAAAAATTTGCATTTCACAAATGAGGTTTTCAGGTAGAAAGTTTCATAAAGTTGTGTACTTGAGGCTATAGGTTTACCTTTCTTATAAGGCGCGTGATTTCCACATTTTCGACAAGCATAGGCACGATTAGTTCTTATTTTCTTTAATGAAGACCTGAGACACAGAGAGATTGAAGCATAGTCGCATAGACGCGCGTTCGATTTAGAAACAATAGTTTAAATTTACAGCTCGTACATTGTAATTAGAAGGTGAATTGCTTCATCGATAAAATTCATACTTCACTTACTCGTTGGTTGAAAGTGTTCTTAAGAGGGAAACTTGCTAGACTAGCAAGGCATGCAAACAGAAACACATGAAAATGTTTCCTTACCGTACAGCTGACTATCAATTGAAGCTTTGTTGCATAACTTCCAGACTGTCCTTTTGCTGTAGTTCCGTCAAATTCCAATGATAATTCACGAATCACTTTGTGAATACAACAACGAGTTTATATTAGTGATGTTTTACTGGCAGGATGGGTGTTAAACACGGCACGAGATATGTAGAACTGCACTGACGTATCGTCTGTGGAGGGGAATCAACATTTGAAATGAATAATGCCGTTCACCTCTTCGGTAAATAGGTGTTGTTCACACTTCAGCGGAAATATCTACAATTATCACCTGCTTGGCGTTAGTAGTAAATAACTTAGTAAGCTAACTGTATCATGTTAGTAAACAGAGTCAAATTTTCTATGCCCATTGCTGTTCAAAACCGCACGCTGAGGTATGAAGTAAGTGAAATATGAAATATCATGCTACCTCATTAGCAATTTTTATGACATGATTAACGACAGGAAGCCGCCAAAATAACTGGTCACGAATCACTACCTGTCGTCGCTAGAGCATTCCCTGATGTATTTTTGAGGACAAAGTACAGAACAAGCTGTTTTAGTATAGAAAATTCTAATAAAAGAGCAGACGACGAACAAAAGACGGCAGCAAAGAAGGCTTCACGCATAAATTTTAGAACTAGCAGTTTCTGATAGAAAGTGCAGTGCTGCGAGGTAAACTAAATGTACTTTGAGCCTGTGGGGTATGGCATATTAATGAAGGAAAGAAACCAAGGGGTGGTTTATTCATTATGTAATGCTTTTCAAAAATAACCGAATAACGAAAAATATATAAAAGTACAAAAATAAGGCGTAAACATATAACATGCGAAATGTATGGATTTTTCACCCACTAATTGTTGGTTTCTCTTACCTCCACAGATACTCACTGGTTTCCTCGCTACGCTCGCTCGCAACAAAAACTTCATTTGTCACAGCGTTTGCATTTTAAACAGTATTTCACGTGTCACGAGTTTTGAAAAGGGAAAACCTAAAATGTCACCAAACCTTGCCGTTTTGCAAAATTCTCTCGTCATATTTAAACCTTGTACTTAGTCACGCGTCACGTATAAATACATCGCTAACCTCACAAAATGCATACACTGGCCAAGTGCATCAAGCAAACCAAATATTGATTTTTGTCCGATTACACTTGTATTAGTTAATTTCCCATCCTAAACTTTAAAATTCTCCCCACGAACCTATCTACAAAACGCTTGCAATTTGGTTTGAAAAATTCTATTTCCACATGAAGGTCAAATACTGAACTGTCTGAGTATCAGCCAACATATTGGAGTCAAGATTTTTACTGTCATGAAAAAAAATAATCTTTTCTCTTGTTTTCCAGCGCATCGTTGCGTGATAATGTCCGGCTGCTTGAAAAGTTATCAAAAATCCTCATAATTATTTCTCTTGTTATGTTACTCATGTCGAACCACTTATGGAATGAAAGTAATGTTTTATAACTCTATTGATAACAAGCGATGTGTGTTTTAATTTCAATTTAAGTTGCTTTTCTTTTTGGAAACCTCTGTGATATTAGCATGTTTTTTAATTAATTTATTTTTAACTCGAAAGTGTTGGTTCAACTTCCAAAAGCCTTTGATTGAAAAACCCCTACGATCTGGGAATACCGCAAATCTCACAGCATGCCTCTAGAATGTCTACAAAACTATGTTCCAGTTACAATGCAGAAGTGAAACTGCCTTAATAGGTTTTCAACAATTTTGACGCGAGGAAAGAAGGCTCTCTTGCAAAGTCGCTATTTGAGTGTCTGTTACAGTTCCGTATTTCGATGCTTACTTTTTGGCTTTTTTTCTTCTTCTTAATCGCCTGAACAAACCATCGTGATACGTGAATGAACAAAAAATAAAGTTATGTGTTATCCAATAGGAACAAAACAATAGGTAGAAAAAGATAAAAACGACACCCACAAAAACTGCTAAAGAACGACTTTCTATCGATCTACTGTTGATTTTGAATAAATTATTCAAGAGGATTTTCTTTGCTGGGGAGCTTCTGTGTTACACCTTTATTTCTAAAAAATATATTTTTTGTGATTTTCCTCTGATCATAGTTTCTTTCCAATTCAATACCAAAATAATTATACTGCACTCATTCACACTGTTCTTCATCATGGTTATTCGCATACCACAATTTTTCTTTTGTTTTTGTTTTTTTTTAATAGATTTTATCTATTTCTTTACATTTATCATCTCTCCTTCCCAAAATTTTCTTTTTTGCTTTAAATGGGTGCATTTGTCTTAAAAATATTTAACTACATCGACATCTTTTTTTTCTGTTACTTTAATAGTTAAATACTTTGACTGAACACCATATTATATCGATGAAAAGGTGTTCTTACTATATCAATAGTTTCTATTTTTCTCCTCCTTACCTCAAATTAATTAGTTTAAGATCTATGTCGAGTGAGAGTCTTACGTACTCAGCCCGCACTGTTCTACCCGACGCAATCTCTGATGTATCATCTAGTTAAATGTGATATCAGTCCCTCAGTTGAGATAGTGACAGGGACCTGCAAACCACAACGACAACAGCAACGAGAAAGTGGCAAAGCGAAAGATCTACTGGGCAGAACAATGGTTCAGCACGTGCGTTTTAAAACTTCAACTTTTCAAAATAAGAATGTGAAATCACCTAAATTTGCGTGGTCTGAGAACGGAGGCTATGTGAGTTTTTATTGGAACGTAACGCTACTCTCAAACAATACGCTGAAGTTAAGGTATGGCACCGAAAAGAAAAGACGGTGAACACCTGCAGGCATTCGCGAAATCCTACATAAAAATATAAATTCATTTTTCAGGCGACTTCTTCTTTGGCGTTGTCTTCCTGACTGCTAAGGGCCCCTAATAATTGTACGTTATAGTATCAGCAATATCCTATCACATTACAGGTCAATGATGGCACGAAAGAATGCTGAAGGACGGAAAAATAAAGAGAAATAAAGGCAATCTTCTACGTTGGAACTAAGAGTTGCCATTTGTACTGCACGATTTTGTTGGACGAATTAATTTAAGTGATGGGGACTCGACACAACAGATGTTTACCTTTCTAAAGCTCAAAGTAAAGCTTATACCACATACCTCTTCAAGACACAGGAATCACTATCAAAGTTGGCTTCTGCGTTGAAGACTACAGTATGTTGCGTGCTGGCGTGTGGGTTTAGTGTCATCAGTCCGTGCGGAACTTATTTCGAAAGATTTTCCCCTGTCAATGAACAAACACGGGCCTTCTATAATACATGAAAACGGACTGGCGGTTTTTTCGTTGTACGATCATTTAGTATGGCATGCAAAATTAGGCGCAGGTTTTAGAAGAGTAAAAAGGAAATAAGGAAAATTTGTAGAAACAGTACTCTTTACAACGGCGCCACGTCGGAAACCACCACGACCTTGGTTCAATAGGAACCTATATTTTTTTCTGCAAATACAGGAAGAAGACTTCATAATCAGCCACAATAAAAGCCTGCAGTATGACAAAAAAATCAATATTACAACAGCTGTCATTTAATTGACGTACGACTTTGATGTATGAAAAACACAAAATTGTGGAAACAAAAGGCGTTTCGCACCTAACTTTTGTCGAGGACGAATCGATTAAAGCGATTCCCCTGTAAAATAATAGCCACTAAATATTTCCTGCGTTTCCATTTACCGCACTAGGCACTGGAACTAACAATTGTTTGACGCCAATCGCCCTGGCCGAGTAGTTAAATTAGGAATCCTCCAAGCGATATCTAGATATGAAGGAAATTAAAATCCTCTTTCTTTCGTCAACTAAAGGCAACTTAGGAGAAATTCTTCTGTATAGTTCCATTAGCTTTCATTGTCGATTTCTGCTAATGTCAGCTTGTTGACTTTAGACTACTGAACATTATGATTGGGAGGTTTTTTAGGAGACTATAAATGAAACATGACAGAACAAGTGAAATAGTTTTTCCCCAAACATCGTCATCACAGTTCCGCTCGCTCTTAATTTTTATGAATTAAAGATGATTTCTGCGTATTAAAGCTAGCCCTTCGACTTTAGGTTAATCAACATTGAAGTCGAGAGGTTTTGAAGAAACTATTAATGAAACATAGCTGGGAAAAGAAAATATATTTTCCCCAATTTTTTTATTTTTTTTTACAGTCCCGCTAACTCTTATTAAGGATTAATCTGCCAGTTGAAGCCGTCTCGATTTTAGGTTACTTAACATTTTAATCAAGGGGCTTTGAGGAAACTGGTGAAATATGACAGGAAAATGTTGACGTATAGACGTTTTTTTCCCGAATTCTAAACAGTATGACCAATTTATGAGTGGTTCAGCTGATAGCTGTCACTGTGGGATGTCGTATGCATTTAACATAGCTGATCTAAAGATGTGTAGGGTAACATGTGTTTTTTCTTCGTAGTCACACAATAAATGAGTGTTCAATAACTTGTCTCACGATTTAGAGTAAAATCAACTAAAACAGTCCAAATTATCATGTCGCATTTCTTACGCAGACAAAAGGGTGCGGGCGGAAAATGGAAAACTAAAACAAGCTGCAAACAAGATCAAGAAATTACAAATTATGAAAAAAAAACAAGCACGAATAAAAATGTTGATGTGTATTTTTTTTCCTAGCGCCAAAGAACAAGGTTCTGCTAACTTCATCCAAATCATTTGCATGTGAAAAAAGATTCTTCATTATTCCGCCCTTATACTAACATATTTTTCTCCTATTTGGATAGTTTTATAGCTGTGGAATATCATACATTGGAAATCAGTTTAGGTTTATGAATTTTGAAGAGTACAAAGAAAAATTTGTGGGTGTCTGTAAATATCATTGGAATTTCGCGAACGGTGAATACGTTATTGTACACTCGGAAAATGCCAATGAACAAAAGGAAAAGAAGCTGTTTGCCGTGCGTTAACCGAGCGGTTGATGCCGAAAAATTATTTTTTTACCTGCATTTACCGCGAGGAAAACGAATACTGGGATTCATCGATGCGAATGTAAGACATTCATGTACCTATACTAAAACCATAATCAGTTGGATCGGATCTCTTTATTTTTCGGAGTTTTACGAAAATTAAATTTCCCTCGAGCGCAGGCTTGTCGCTTTTCTTCTTTTCTTTAATTTCATACAACTTTGGAGGACAATTTACAACAAAAAACGGAACTCAGCAAAAAACAAATACCACAGCCATGGATATTAACTCTATCTTATCGATCGAGTCGACTTTCGTAAACATCACGTGTCAATTAAGGAAACAGGAAGACTTGAATGACACCTTATCGGTTCGCTTAAATCACACACGCCAAAACCGATCAAATTCAAGGTAAATTTTTGCAAAAGTGAAGCGTTCTTAACTGATCCAACTAACATAGCTAGGAAGTAGGTGCCATAGAAAAGGTAACTACAGAAAAAAACTTTGCGGCCCGACCTTTACGAGAACTTTGTAACTCCATGAACTTACCTGATTTCCGGCAATCACCAAGTTTGGCCGCCATTTTGAGGGACTTGTCAATATGAAGCGTAACTAATATAAATCAAGTAGGTAGATCTAAAACCGTCAGAAATACATACGAAATCAATTCAAATGAACTTTACTTTCAATTCAAGCGCAAAATTTGAAATTGTTCGACAAGCCACCATTTCTTTCAACAATTCAAACACTACAACTAGTGTTCGAATTCCCCTCGTCGATTCCACCGTAAGAAATAACCTGTGCCACCCAAGCTTCGACTCGAATGTGAAGTACGAATCAAATAACATAATTGCTTCATCTTCGCGGCAATATCACGCTGGCATTTTGATTTTCCGATCGACAAGAACGGTGATTAAGAATCGATCGGTTTATTTACCTCATAAACGTGACCGCTGACCAGCCGCTAAGAGAAAACAGCATAGCGCGGGGTGGGGTGGGTGGCGGGCTTATCGTCATAAGATATTCGAATACATGCTCAAAAAGCTCTAGGACTATCAGTATAAACAGTGAAGGCATGCTTCGTGGTACAGACAACTTTTATTTTATTCTCATAACTTTCTCCTTTAAATTAGAACTGGTATTAATTAATAGAGTTATCAATATATTTTTAACCGGGGTACCCATATAACCTTTTTGCTTGTCATCAGAGGTATAAAAATAAGGTGTCTTTTCCACCAGAACCTTTTATTTATGCCTCATTGCACGGAATGAACACTATACTTAGAATGTTTGCCCTAAGTAATTTTTGCTGCTCCCAAGAATGTATGCAAAGTGATAGAGATTTGATTCATTCCGCTGACACGTTCTTTTAAATTATGGCGCGTGCAGGTTTTTTCTATCAACAGTCGCGCGTGCAACACACCGGAATTGAAAATTCGTCGTAAAATTTCAT